TTTTTGTTGGCAGACCACTCCAGCTTGTGATCCAGATGAACTCCCAGATACTTCTGGACGTGACTATTTCGACATCAATCCCACCAATGCAGACAGGGATCTGCTTCTGCCAAAGTCCAGCACCAGCTCCTTTGTTTTGGCCACAGTCAGCTGCAGGTGGTTCACCTCACACCACCTCAGTGATCAATCAGTCCTCTGTACTCCTTTTCTCTTCCCATCTCCACGCTTCCAATAATGGGCGTGTCATCAGAGGATTCCTGGAGGAGACAGGTTTCTGTGACGTACTAGAAGCCTGCACAACTTTGACTGTTTTCAAGTATTGGTTTTCGGCATCACAGGGAAATAATGAGAGCCTTGGTTGGAGGGCACGGAGCAGGAAAACCTGCAGCAGACACCAGAACCATCACATAAACCAGAGTTGTAGATTTTCTGCAGTGTTTTCACTCAGATCAGCTCAGCCGCATGAAATATTTCACTAGTTTCACCAGAAACATGAGAGAATTTGTCAGTGCCCAAGGAAATGTCCAAAGGTGCTTAGTTAGACTCTGAGTGGAAAGACTTTGTACACTGACCTTCAGATGGCTTTAATGTTCAGACCTGTAGCAGAGATCAGGCTCTGGTCTTTAGGAGCAGGGCTGTGTTCCAATAACCTGTAGAAAGGTTCCTAACAGAGACGTGACCCAGAAGGACTTGTGTGGCGTCTATAATAAGAGTGTTCCAATACTCCAAATATTAAGGAAAGGTGCTTTAGTGCTTCCTTTATTGCTCCTTTAGCAAAGATACAGAGGACCATCATTAATCCACAGTAATGGACCATAGCTGAAAACAGCAACATAACAAAGTGGAGCAGAAAGCTTAACTGTAACTGCATTTTCATTCCATGCAATAACCTGCTGGTGTAATTAAAGTTTTTAGCATCAAATGCACAGCTGAAGTCTGAACATCACACTGGTGGAATAAAAACTACTTCCTGTTTCGTTGTTGCTGCATGAACGCAAAATGTTGTATGATGTAAATCAGGGGTGTCAGCCCTACTTAATCCACGGTTACCAACCGGCCCACAGCAAAGCGCTCCCTGCAGACGTCATTGTGACGTAGAGCCGAGCGCACCTGAGCAGCGTTTGTGCTGAGAGGCGGGACGCTGAGCGGAGGTTTAAATGACAGCCGCGCAGCGCGTGCTTCGGTGCTCGTGACCCAGGGACAGCAGGCGCGTGGAGGCTCGTGGCCTTGTTGACGGTGCAGGTTTCATTGGTTTCTGTTCGTCAGACGCAGTTTCTCACCCCCCACAGCCTTACACGCAGCTCTGCATTTGCAGCCATGTTTAAGGTAACCGCAGCACCTTTTAGCGCCTCCACATGTAGCTGCTCCTTGTCCTACACACATGCTTCAATTACCCACTTCAAGAAGTGAAGTGGGTAATTGAAGCATGTGTGTAGTTATCAGGATCGGGGGTCTACGGTTATTCCTGAAGGCCTGTGAAGCAGCAGAGCTTTTATATCAGCGTGCGCTTTTTATCCCATGGTGAGAATAGTTGGTTCTGTGAAACTAGTTTGATTTTTCAAACAAGTGGTTGCAGTGCGTGCTGGTCCATGACCCTGGTTGCTTTTCTTGTACTGGGGTCCTGCTGGTAGGACTAACTTAGCCACAGATCTAAGTTTGTTTTTTTAAATATATAAAAGTAACAACAATTGTGCCTCCTTAGCTGAATCCTGCTGATAGACTTAAACTGTAAGTTACATGAATTCAGACAATTTCATACTGCCACAAAGTTACTGTGAGCTTATTTAGCTCAGTGTGCTTTTGCAGCAATCGCGGTAACCAGCCTGGCTGAGGACGGTGAGGGTCGGTCTATGCAGGTCAGACTTTAGGAAGTACCCCTCGGGTCTCTTTGACACATGGGGTCCAGCGTGTGCAGCCAGTTCTAAAGCATGACTCTGCTTAGATTTAAAACAAATGTGAGTTACGCTCAGCTGGCTGTCCTAAAGAAAAGTTCTCTGGTTTGTATCTGCTACGTTTGAGTTTACTGTCCATCTGGTTGTAATTATGTGAGTGTGTTTTTCTTAAAGTGGAATAGCAAAGTTGAAGAGCTGACTGGCTCCCTATCAAAGCTGGTTATTCAGTTCCTGTGGTCTGTGTCCTGCGGTCACTTTTGAAAGACTTCATGTATGCTGACCATGTCCTGATGAGATTTGTCATTTGCACTTAAACTGCTGTCATTTCAGTGGAGAACCCGGTACATTGTATATGGATTAGTCTATATTTATATCTATACAATCTGTTTTTAGACATTAAATCCCATCATTTTAAGCAGATGTTGAAATTGCTTTCCAATATCAAGCACCTTGAGGTGACTCTTGTGATTTGGTGCTATACAGTGAAAATGATCAGAAAGACCAGGCAGAACTCGATACATGTTTAAACCGCTGACTTCTCTCTTTACAGACCAGTAGCAAAGACTTGTTTCTGCCTTCACCTGAGCTACTGGACAGCATGCAGTCTGTGGAGGAATCTGACGGTGACTGTGGTGGAAGCGCCGTATCGTTGGCCGAAGCCCTGCTCCCTGTGACGGAGTCCTCACCACCTCCAATCCCCTGGGTCTGCTCAACCCGCTACAAGACGGAGCTCTGCACCACTTACTCAGATGATGGTTTCTGCAAGTATGCCGAGCGCTGCCAGTTTGCCCACGGCCTCCACGAACTCCACGTTCCCTCACACCATCCAAAGTACAAGACAGAGTTGTGTCGCAGCTACCACACAGATGGCTACTGCTACTATGGCAACCGTTGCCTGTTTGTCCACAGTCCCACAGAGCAACGCCCCACCCTCCGTCGTCGCAGGAACGTCCCGTGCCGCACCTTCCGTGCCTTTGGGATTTGTCCCTTTGGAACCCGCTGTAACTTCCTGCATGTGGAGGGTAAAGATGAAGACGGCCGTCACGATTTGGCCAGTGTTGGTGAAAAGACCGCATTTGTGCAAAAGCCCAATGGGTGGAAACCTCGAGGGGCTCTGTGCCGCACCTTCAGCACCTTTGGTTTCTGCCTGTACGGAACCCGCTGTCACTTCCAGCACGGCCTACCTAACAGGATAAAAACCTCCAGTCAACACAATGGGTTGCTGTCCACATGCGCGTCACGTTTGCCTTCTGCATCAGATTCTTCAGCCTCATCATCTCCTCCACCCACCACCCCAGAAGCACTAGCACACAATGCTTTCACCTTCTCCAGTCAGCACTTAAATGATCTGCTCCTGCCACTGGCCCTCCACCTGCAGAAGCTGGAGAGCACGAAGGCCCAGGATATCTGGGCCAACAGGATGCTCTAAACTGCTGCTGAACACTTTCTTTTTTTCTTTTTTTAATATGTAATTCCCCCCACTTTACCCCAAGGGTTTTTTTTGTATATATGTTCCAATTGACTTGAGCTTGTTTCAGAAGGCCCAAGCAGGCCTTGGCAAACATGACTATTCAGTCATGGATCAGTCTGGAGTAGCTCTGGAAAGAGAATCTTACAGGTGCAGCTATATGTGTAATATTTTTAATTGTACATGGCTATATGTCTGCCCAAAGCACTGTAAATAAACCATGTTGCTTTTTTTACTAACTGCTGTGTTTGTGTGTTTGGCTGGGCTGGATTAAAGTTGTGGGGTGACTGACAGAAGTCCAGTAGCTGCCTTTTCAAGCACAAGCGAGGCTGGCGTTTGTCAGTCTTAATCAGCAGCTGCTGAAACTGTCTTAAAACTCCGAAGCTTCCTTCCAATAAAGAATGGGATGGTTGGCTGGGACCGTGCTCATGGGACCAAAGACAAGAGTCTTGGGCTCAAACTGAAAGTTGGCCTATAATCAGCTCTGGCTGGTGTACGTCCGGGTTAGTTTAATGTGGAGGCGATGGTGAAATGTTTATACTAGACCTCCGTATAGGACGTCTAAAGAGTATTTTAAAGAGACACGACCTTCAACCAACCAATCCCGTCTACTGATACTCGGCGACCAATCACTGGCCTTAACCTCCTGGTACAGAGCGTCAACAGGTAGACCTGGGAGGGTAAAGGTAGCTCGAGGCTGTAAGCATAGAGCTAAATCTTTTTAGGCTTTAGTTAAATTGCACCTCTGAGCTGTTTCGTCAGGACGATATTGTGAGACAGTAAACTGGACCTCGCTGCCTTATTTTGAAGGGTACAGCGGATGTCTTGGTCATGATTGCTAGCTTGATGTTATGGAGCTGCTAGTGTATCGGACAGCTACCCTGGTGTGAACTTTATTTCAGGCGCTAAAGACCTCCAGTCCCCCTTTGTTCCAGTTTAGAAGGTAAAGTCTAACGTTGCCTGATACTGGGAAGGCCTGGTGTTGTATTTTCTGTCCTTCTGATGCTAGCTTTTAGCATCATGTATTTTAGCTAACTGTAGCTGTATTTAGCTGTATTTGATGCGACAGTTTTATAAAGACACAACGGTCATTTCATTCGTTACTGTATTGTAATAGGTTTGTTATCGTGGTTTCTTTCAAAGTGCGGTGGTTTCTTCCAGCTAACTGAATAAAACCAGAGTTGACTTTGTTAGCATGCTGAATGAGTGCGGTGGTTCGGAGAAACCACGGGCCACAGCTGAAAAAGGTCCCCAATACGTGACGGTCCACAGTGAAGACGTTTATAGACGAGAAAACGTTTTGGGAAGCACACACGTATGTTTTAGCTAACCCTGTAGTGTGTCCCCGAGGACACGTGAAGTTCCGTAAAGCTTTACCGCCAAACGCGGTGTTTTGCTGTGAGATGCGGAGAAGGCATGAACGTAACGTGATCTTTCTTGCTAGTTTGAGTGATTTCGGTGAACATGGCGGACCGGGAGGAGCGCCGGTTCGCCGAGGTTTCCCGGGAGTCTGTCAGACTGATGGCGGAGGGCGCAGGTGTGGAGCTCGGTGACGATGTGGCGGCTCTGCTGGCCGAGGACGTGTGTTACCGACTCAGGGAGGCCACGCAGGTCAGTGATGCCTGGATGCATAATGTTCTGACTTTGGGAGAAGTTCGTGTTAGGTGTACGTGGTAATGTTTTGCTGTCCCCAACAGAGCAGCTCTCAGTTTATGAGACATGCCAAGAGGAGGAAGCTGACGGTGGAGGACTTCAACAGAGCTCTGCGCTGGAGCAACGTGGAGGTAGCGTGTAATTTCCATATCCGATCTCCCTCAGGTGATAGCATGTCTGATGTGAGGGAACTCCTTCATGTTTCTGTCTCTGTTCTTTACCAGGCCATCTGCGGCTATGGAGCCCAGGATGCGCTGCCTTTCCGTTCAGTGAAAGAAGGCGAGCTCTTCTTTGTTGAGGATCGGGACGTCAATCTGGTCGAGCTGGCGCTGGCTACCAACATCCCCAAAGGCTGTGCTGAGACCATGGTGCGAGGTACGCTACGCTGCTACGTTCCACAGACAGGCTCATCCTCTATGCTCTGTCATATCCATATTCACGTGATGAGTTTACTAATGATGTTTCATGTTTGCCTGCAGTCAATGTGTCATACCTGGATGGTAAAGGTAACCTGGAGCCTCAGGGTACAGGTGAGACGCACAGCAGGCATAACCTAACCCACAGTTGTTGTACTTGGACCTGTAGATAGAATAAAGTAGCTAATACTCTAAAAACTGAGCTCCACCTTTCACTGAGAGCATCATTGTTATCCTGTTAGAAAATCTCAGTGTTTGTCTGTGTTAAACTGTCCCAGTTCCTACAGCAGTACAGTCTCTGTCAGATGACTTACTGAAGTACTACCAGCAGATCACAAGGGCCATCTTAGGAGAGGACCCGCATCTCATGAAGGTGAGCTGCTACAGACAGAGCAGACTTTTTGTTGTGAACAGGCTAAACGACGCTCGTGTGTGTTTCAGGTGGCTCTGCTGGACCTCCAGTCTAACTCCAAGATTGCAGCCCTGCTTCCGTACTTTGTTTATGTCATCAGTGGAGTAAGTTTTAGGGTTACACAAATCAGCATTTATGATTCTCATCACCAGTTTTGTTAGGAATGCTTGGTGTGTTTAGTAAGACAAAATATCGTAGCATGACACATGAATCAGACCTATCTCATAACTGGAAGCGCTTTTAACTCTACACGGTAACCTACGTGACCTCGGCTTGAGTGGCGTCGAAGGTTCTGATTACGTCGTCAGTTAGGATGTAGATTTCCTGAACCTGTTGACCGGTGTTTCAGCTGATCATGGATTCGGTTTGTCTTCCAGGTAAAGTCGGTAAGCCACGACCTGGAGCAGCTTAACAGACTAATGCACATGGTGAAGAGCCTGGTCCAGAATCCCTACCTGTACCTGGGCTCGTATGTACGCAGCCTGGTCTCCAGTGTCATGTACTGCATCCTAGAGCCACTGGCAGCCTCCATCAACCCACTCAACGACCACTGGACTCTCAGGGACTACGCTGCCCTGCTCCTCAGCCACATCTTTTGGTGAGCAGATTTTCTGTGGATGCTTAGGCAAGCTTGGACTAAAATTGTTAGCCAGTCAGGATTTAACATCAGTGTTGAGAATACAAAACTACTGTAGCGTTAGCCTGTTTTACAGTAAATATGGAGCATCAAAGAACCTGTGTTGCTACAATGTTACCAGTCTGACTAATGTTAGCAGGCTGTTGCTAAGGGCAACATTAACATTCACTCGGCGTTTGCGTTAAAAATGGAAATCCAACAGTCGCTCTTCTTTCTGGTGTTTCTTCTGCAGGACTCATGGTGATCTGGTAAGTGGTCTCTACCACCAGATCGTGCTGTCGCTCCAGAAGGTTCTGTCTGACCCAGTGAGACCACTGTGCTCCCACTATGGAGCTGTTGTGGGCCTCCATGCTTTGGGATGGAAGGTATGGCCACAGCTTCTACATTAGTAAATATTTGACAGTTATAGATTAGATTAGGCCCATGTTCAGTCGATATTTTCAAACAAATCATTCCCTAAATGAAAAATCTCACATCTTGATTATTTAGCTGTGAAATATTTGCAAACCTGCATGCCGTTACTGTTTTTATTGCTGTTGAGTGCTCCACTGCTACCCTCCTGTGTCCTGAATGCTCCTCTCTCTGTGTTCACCTGTTTCTGCTGGCAGGCTGTCGAGCGCGTCCTCTTTCCACACCTTCCTGCGTACTGGGCCAACCTCCAGGCTGTGTTAGATGATTACTCTGTGTCCAACGCCCAGGTGAAAGCTGACGGACACAAGGTCTACGGAGCCATCCTGGTCAGTACTGCTGCTGCTTTGGGTGATTTCAGACACTGATAGACTGTCATTCGTCAACTTAATGAAGTATTTAAGTGTAGAAAATTACTTTAAAAACAGAATGAGGTTAAGCTTGATTGGTTGGTCTGAAGGTCCACTGGAGTCAACTTCCACATCTGCTCCAGCTGTTCCTCTTTGTGCTCGTTCTGATGTTGCTGTGAGCTGCAGTTGCCACATGTGCCGCATCTCCAGCAGCTTTTTGAATCTCTGTTATGGAGAATTAAGGCAAAAGTGGGGCCGACCTGGTACTAGCAAGGTGTACCTAATAAAACGGCTTGTGACAATATACAAACTTAGTTCTGGGAGCCATAAAATAACGAATTATTGTCAAATATAAATTGAGTGGTTAGCAATGTTGCCTCACAGCAGGAAGCTTCCTGGTTTAAACCTCAGCTTGGCTCGTTGTGCGTGCAGTTTCCTCTGTAGCTGAGTTACAGCTTCCTCCCACAGTCCACACACATGCAGGTCGGGTTAACTGGCCCTGGATCAGGGATTGTTCTATATGCTTCAAGAACTTCAAAGCAGTGTGTGGTTAATGTTGATTTAATGAAGATGTTGAGCCCCAAATTTGTGCTGAGGATAACTAAAAGGATGAGCTCAAGCTTGACATTATGCCTAATGATGCTTGTGATTAAAAACCAATTAAATCATAATTTGAGTTCATCTTGTCCCACCTACGTCGCCACTTCCTCTCTTTGTCCTGCAGGTGGCAGTGGAGCGCCTGCTAAAGATGAAGGCGCTGTCTCTGTCGCAGTCAGCAGAGGGACACTCCGGTGCTCATCCGGGTTCTGTGGTGGGAGCTGCGAGCTACAGGGTGAACTCTCCGGGACTCAGCCCACCTCCAGAGCCTCTGTCAGAAGCTGCCCTTGGAATTGCCAGCCACCTCCAGGTGGGTGGGGCCGGCTGTCACTGGGAGGAGTGGACCCCCGTCCCTCTCCCCGCCATGTACTGTGAGCTTTACTCCTTCTTCGGCGACAGCCTGGCTGTCCGCTTTAGCACAGGACCAGGATTTGGCACCCACTCGCCCTGCGCTCCATCCCAGCTTAGTGACTCCAGGAAGGAACCTCCCGGCCCCGCCTCCAACCTCGACACCACCCGGAAGATGCCACAGCTCACCGCCAACCTCAACATCAGCCCCAGGCAGGACGGGAGTCCGCGCACCGATCCACCTCCGCCGAGTCTTTCAGGCACAGGGTCAGTTAGGTAAAGCAACCAGAGGAGCACCTATCTGTCTTTGTGTGTCTGTGTGTGTGTTTGTGCTGATTTATTTTTGTGCGTCTACCCAGGGCTGTGCCTCGTGCCTCGTCTATGCAGCGCTCCAAATCCTCCTCATCATGTTCACGCCAACGTTCAGCTGGTCTGTCTCGTGAAGTGTTCCCCAAAGCTCGCTTCACCTCACCTCAGACCACACCTCCTGCATTTTCCTTTCTTATTGGTGGGCGGCAAATGGGCCAGCGTTGTCAAGGCCGCCGCCCTTTCCAGACAATGTTTGCAACAACTCCGCCTGTTTCTGCTGTTCCACCACGTACCTATGCACACAAACTGCCCGTCATCGGCAGGGTGGGCAAACCTGTACGTCGCTGGACATGTTCACATTACTCCCTCCACCTGCCTCTATAGTGTGTGCGTGTGTGCGTGTGTGTGTGTGTGTGTGTGTGTGTGTCACAGACTGTATGAGCTAACATTAGTCTGACTGCTGCAGACTCTTCCAGGCACACGTTGCTCTGATTAAGCTGCTGGAGTTTTTAGGGGATGTTGTCAGTAAAGAGGCAACACAGGGCTAAGCTGCCACTCACATGTATGAACATACAGATGAGGCCCAAAGAGATTCTAAACATGCTAATTAAACAGCTAGTCAGTATCTGAATGTCAGCATCTGGGAATGAGAGCATGAAATGTAGCACGTGACAGCTTGTTGGGCCTCTGCTGCCTTGCACGTCTCCACAGTTACTGCCGGGCCTGTTTAGCCTCAGCTCACTCATGCTGGTGGGAAATCTTTACTGCAGTCGCCAAATGATCATTCTGCCAATATTTCATTACTGCTTCATTTTTTAATTAATCTGTTATTCTTGTAACAAATCAATTTGTTTACTCAAAGTCAGTTTTGGTCCCTGTAAAAAGCAACAGCTGGATGTGCTGCATGCATGTCAGGACCAGCACGTTTGGATCACAGCGCCGACGTGTCTGCTGCACTTTCATTGGAGAATGGACAAAATCCTGCGATGTGTGTGGAGCAGAGGGAACTGTGATCTTCCCTAAATAAATCTTTCAAGTTGACACATTTTCCCATCATTTAGTTTTTTCCACTGTTTGATGTTTTCCTGAAACTCTTGTTTAGCTTGTGCTAGTGTCGATTCAACTCATAATATCAGTGAATACCTGCTGAGGACAATGTTGGAGCAAGATGGGATATGTTGTTAATGACGGTTTTTCATAGACTGAATAAATATTTACTTGTTGCTGATGTTAGGAGACGGGTCAGAGGTCACATCTGTGCTGCCTCCCACAGTAGATCACTGCTGGTGTATTAGCTATGATGCTACATGCTACCCTCTGAACAGATACTACTTTTTCTTTTTGCTTTTCTATGAAGAAACAGCATCAAGTAGAATGAAGGAGAGCAGGTGTGTCTGATATGTTTTTCCCGTGGGCGCCCGCTCGGGGTAGGAGGAGTTAAACGACTGTTCTGTGCTGGCACTGAGCACCAGCGTGACCTGATTTAGTCAGAAACACCATCGTTTGCATTGGTTCCTCTTGCTTCTGAAGGTGAGTGTTTGCATTCCAGTGTGATAGTTCCTGGTCTGTCAGTGCAGTCGAGCCAAACCGACTTTAATGTAAAGAAGACAAAAACAAACATGCCATCCAGCAGCTCCTGGTCATATAGTAATAAAAGATCAACTGAAGACGAGAGAAAATGTAAACGTCATCCTTGCAGAGGTGAGAAGTAAAGCAGTGTGTTTACAGCAGAAGATTATAAATTGTTATTTATTCCATGTACAAAAAAGCACGGGGAGCCGTGCACATTCAATCTCAAATGAAAACATGAACAAGTTTCTTTTTTTTAACTGTCAATTAAGAATCTTAGGTTGTTCAAAATAATAGCCGTGTCTACATTTTGATGTACAAACTGGAATATTTCCAGTATGAGCTGAAAATGAAGTGAGCATTTAGCTTTTCCTTTAAGCTCTGAACTAATATTTAGTTGTGTAACCATTATCTCTGATCACTGCTTTGCATCTGTGTAGCATGCACTCCACTGACATTTGACACCTGCGAACAGAAACTGCAGGCTGACTGCACTACGCTCCACAGATCTTCTGCAGTCTTTGGTTTTGCATCAAAAGCAGAATTTTTGAGGTCAATCCACAAATTCTCTATCGGATTGATGTCCGGGCATTGCACAGGCCACTTCATGACATCAATCTTTTTGGTCTGCAACCAGGATGTTGTGCGCTTGCTGATGTGTTTGGGGTCCTTGTTGTGCTGAAACACCCATTTTAAGGGCATTTTTTTCCACAGCGTAAGGCAATATGACCTCTTCCAGTATTTTTAGGTACTGAAACTGGTCCCTGGTGCCCGTTATGCGATAAATGGGCCCCACTCCAAAGTATGAGAAACATCCCCAAACCACTGTGCTTGCACCTCCATGTTTTACAACCTTCACAGTGTACTGTGGCTTGTGTTCAGGCTCGTGGTTGGGGGTCGTCTCACGAACTGCCTGCGGCCTTTACACCCAGTGAGAACACACTTGCTTGTGTGTCCACAGAATATTTCACCACTTCTCTTTAGTCGGGTCGTTGTGTTCTTTGGCAAACTTTTCAATACATGTCTTTATTTCAGCAGTGGTACTTTATGAGCGTTTCTCATATTTATTATTTCGCACATAAATGTACTTTGTTGCTATATGTTAAGTAGAATTTTCAGGTACCTGTACTTTACTTGGGCAGTTTTATATTTCTTAAGTCTTTTTATTTTTACTCCCCAGATGTTTAAGCAAATCTCTGTACTTGTTTAAAAATCTGTAATATCTGTACTTTCTACTCACGTTTTCAAAACAGACTCGTTTGGCCAACTTTGGCACAACATCGGAACGATATAGAAGGCATTTAGTTATTTAATCATTCATTAAGTGCAATCTGTTTGAATTTAACTTTAAATGTTTGTTTATTATTATTTAGGTTATTTTTTATTTTGCTTTGTACTTTTGGAGAAGCCGAAGTACCCGGAGAGAAGCCGTGCAGACGCAGGAAGAACATGCAAGGCTTAAGCTACGAAGCAACAGTGCTGACCATTGTGTCATTATTCCAACCAAGGATAACCAAGCACCGTTTTTATAGCTGTGATGCACCAGAGCTGATGTAACTCTACTGTTCATATAGAAAGTATATAAATGACCCCCCTGCTGAATTTGTGAGTCTGCTCACTCATGAATGAACAGCCTCTGAGTGACAGAATATGAACCACACATCCAGAAAATCACATTACAAGAAAGTATTGATTTTCATGTCACAGTGTTAAATGTGGTTTTGATCTTCAAATAAACATAAATGAATACAAACTTCTCCTTAGTTGGTCAGCAGGCCTGCACACGTCTCAGGAGAGCTTCTGGCCCACTCCTCTTCACAGAGGCTCTCAGGCCTGTAGGTTCCTGGCTGCCACTTGACTGACCTTCATGTGCTTGGTGGTCATGCTGGACTCAGGATTCTTTATTTGTCACGTGCATGGTTATACAGATATAACATGCAGTGAAATGTGACCTGATACGCTCCACTGTGCAAAAAAAAGAGACGCATCTTCAGTGTTGTGGCTGAGGCAAGGAGGTTGGCGTTCACATCAATCCTCCGTCAAATCAACGGTACGCAGTGCAAGAGTTACACGCTTTGCACATTCAGAGGGAAATGTCAAGCATACACATTTAATCTCTGTAATATTCTGGATATTTATAATTGAGCTATTAGTATATATTTGAGTTTCTGTTATATTTTAACTTTGTAATATATTTGACTATTTCTTTTATTTCAGTCTGTTGCTGTTCTTGTTGTCTTGGAGCAACTGCAACCACATCATTTCCTTAGGGAATAATAAAGTTTCTGATCCTCATCCAAGGTTTCACGATAAATAGCTCCTCCCACTGGTCTCTCGGTGAACTTGTATCCTTGAAAACAGCTCCAATGCTTCCCCCCTGAATGCTTGACTGTTGGGATGCTGTTCTTTGGGTCACGTGCAGCATTTCTGTTGAGTTGATGCCAAAGCGCTAAACTTTGCTTTCATCTGACCGCATCACTTTCTCGCTTCTCTGGATTATTTAGATGTTTCCTGGCAAACTGAAGCAGCGCCTGCATGTACAGGACATAGTGTGTTAGCAGTGGTGGTGACTATGGTTCTGACTGCCTTTAACAGAATCACTAACAAACCCCTGCTGTGTAGTTTTGGGCTGATCCAGCACCATCATCATCTTCACCCTGCAGTCAGTATCAGCTGTGTCAGCTGACCCTCCTTAGCATTGCCCCCGAGCTCCCTGCTCCACTCCCCCACACCCCGCCACACATACAGATCAACCTTTATACAATGTGTTTTTTATTTTCCAGATTTTTGGTTAATATTCGTTTTCTTACCATTAAAATGAAACTACCACAATAACTAAATGCTATTTATTTCTTTTTTAGAGCTCCTGTTTGAGGAAAATTGCAAATTCAGCAGGGATCAAATAGTTATTACAGTGAACTTGTTCGTGTCACTTGTTCCACATGTTACATCCTTGTTCCCAAATGGAATAAATTAATTTTTCACCTCAAAATTCCACAAACAATATCCCACAGTGACCAAGTGAAGACAGTTTAAAGCTCTTGTAGAGTGATTAAAAATAAAAAACATTTTCTGTGGACTGTAAGGGCCCCTAGACTGAGGCTCTCTTTATTGCAACAGTTTACCTCTGATGGGGGTCTTTCCCTACCAAATGTTTTAATGTACTACTGGTCTTCACATATTCATAAGCTGACCTACTGGCTAAATTCACCCAACCTGATTTGGTGTAAACTTGAAATTCAATCAATTTCTCCATATTGTTCTCCTGCCTCCCTTATCTCTTCATCATTAAAACATCTTCTGTTGCTTCAAATCCCGCGGTGCTCTCTGCACTTTAGATCTGGTTTCAGTTCAGGTCGCATTTTAAATTCATATCCTCCTCTACCAGGTTACCATTGTTAAGGAATCCTCTATTTTCCCCTGACACTACTAACGCTGCCTATTTGATTTGCCACGAAAGAGGCACAAAGACCATGAGAGCTTTTTACAAAGATGATGTCCTTCTGAGTTTCTCAGAGCTCAAAATGTGACCTACCACCTCCTTCTCACTGGTTTCTCTATTTGCAAATTAGACACTGTGTCTCATCACTGTTTCCAAATTTCCCAGTTCTCCCTGCTGATCCTTCATGGGTTGACCTTCTGCTTGTTAGGCCTAATCAAAAATCAGCTCTATCAAATATACATCAAACGCTTATGGTGACCGAATCTGACTCTTCAGGTAGAATCAGAACCGCCTGGGAGCGTGAATTAGGTGTTGAACTGTTTGAATCATGCTGGGATAAGGTGAATGTCATCGTGCGCTCAAGTACACCATGTGCTACAGCTCGTACTTTAAAGTAATAGACAGAGTCCGTTTATCTAAACTTTTTCCTTCAGTTATAATCGTGACCTCTCCTTGCAATCTAAGCCATGTGTTGTTCTTCTGTCCAAGTCTGAACAAATTTTGGAGTGAATTATTTTCTGTACTTTCAGGGTTTTTTGGAATTCAGATCCTTGAAGATCCTCTAGTTGCCATATTTGGAGTTCCAAAGACTCCTCTTAATATGACTCCGCAGCAAACAGATCTTGGCTTTTTGTTCCCTTCTTGCTAGACGCTGTATTTTACTCCTTTGGAAATCTCCCACGCCTCCATCTGCATCGCAATGGCTTAATACTGTCCGGACATTTCTGAGGGTGGAGAAGATCTCACTCACAGTGAAAGGTAGTTCTGTGAAAATCATCTGCAAGTGGAATATCTCAAATCTTTTCCTTAGAACAATGCAATTTACCCACCGACTGGACTGAAAAGAATTTGAAATTTACTTTTTTTTAAGGTAGGCATAGGATTTAAGCACCCCCCCTTTTTTTCTTTTATTTATTTATGTTATTTATATAGTGTTTAATTTTTAATTTATTACTATTATTATTTGAGTTTTACTTTATTTTTTACTCACTTTTTCTTCTTTTTTTCTTTCTTTTCTTAGTTTTCTGTT